TATGAGCAGTTGATGATCTGTTCCACAATCAGCTCCTGGTCTGTGGTTTTTTTTTGTTTGTTTGTTTTAAGTTGTGATTTGGGTGAAAGTTTACAGAGCAAATTCACTTTCCATACAGCAGTTCACATACACTTTGTCTTGTGACATTGACTAAAATTTACCACAGTGCAACAGCTCCCCTTCTGCTTCCTCCCCATACTTACCTCTTCCCTGTGTCCATCCAATTAAATATGAACGCAAAACACAAAAACATCACAATGCCTCGGAGACAACAGAGCATCACAGTCCACACAAAGAAGCAAGATAAAGCAGGAGAAACAGGGGACCAGGATACAGACCCAAAATATATCCCTGAGGAAGATACTACATTGGAATTCCCTGATAAGGAATTCAAAAGAATTATATTTAGGTTCCTTCAATGAGTTGAGAGACAGATCAAGGAAAACATTGATAAAAATGAGGAAAACACAAAGAAAACCCTAGAACAGTTTTGAAAGACAATATAAGAACAGAATGACAAAATAAATGAAAAACTAGAAATGATACAAAATCTATGAACAGAAATCCAGAAGATTAATACTAAATTTTCAGAAATAGATAACACATTGAACAGGCAAAGGTTAGAATTCAATCAATGGAAGACAGAATTAGTGAGATTAAAGGCAAATACCTCAATACTTCTTTGGAAAGGGGTCAATCAAGGAAAAGATAACAACAAAATGAAGAAAGTCTAAGGTTTATGTGGGACACAATCAAAAGGAATAACCTACGTCTAATGGAATTCCAGAACAGGAAGAGACAAAACCACAGAGAAAATTGTCTAAGATTTGTTGGAAGAGAATTTCTCTGGTATAATGAGAGATGAGAATATATCCATTCAAGAAGTCTGGTGAACCCCAAACAGGATAGACCGCAAAAGAAAATCACCAAGACATTTCATCATCAAACTCACCAAAACCAAAGACAAAGAAAGAATCCTCAAAGCAGCACAGGAAAAATGAAAAGTTAACCTACAAGGGGCAACCAATAAGAATAAGCTCAGATTTCTTGGCAGAAACCATGCAAGCAAGAAGGCAATGGGATGGTATATATAAAACCCTGAAAGATTAAAATTTCTAACCAAGAATTGTATACCCAACAAAATTGTCCCTCAAATATGATGGTGAAATTAGGACATTTCCAGATCAGCGTAAATTAAGGGAATTTGTTAAGACCAGAACAACCTTACAAGAGATGCAAAAGGGAGTCCTTTGGACAGAGAACCAACAACAGCAAACAACTGACCATTAACACACATGATGACATAACCCAGAAACCAACACAGTTATAGAAATATCCAAAGTAAATAAGCCGTCAAGATAGTAAACAGGGAACCAGAGACATCAATTGACAAATGAGGACAAGTACAAACCAAAGAGAGGAAACAAATTGTAGTTACAGAACTTCTAAATGATAGAGAAGTCAATACAACTACAATATAGAGCAGACTGTTCTAAACTTGGGAAGAAAATTATAAATCACAGGGTAACCTCAAAGAAAAACAATAAATCTTCATATCAAAATAAAAAAGGACCAGCACAAATATTTAGCAAATACTAAAACAATAGTAATGAAGGAAGTGATAGCATGATTCATAAACAGAACAAGCTCAGCACAGATAATTATATGGAACAAAGAAATCAGGAATACCATGAAAAAGCACATAACAAAATGACAGCAACAAGATCATACTTACTGATAATTACATATTTGACAAAGGACTTTTCTCTAAAATTTATAGAAAACTCCAACACCTCAACAACAAAGAGATTAACAATCTAATTCAAAAATGGGCAGAAGACAGGAATAGACACTCCACCAAAGAGGATATTCAGGTAGCCGGCAAATACATGAGAAATGCTCACAATCATTAACCATCAGATAGATGGAAATCAAAACAACAGTGAGATACCAACTCACCCCAGCACTAATGGCAAAGCTCAACAAGACAGAAAATAACAAATGCTGGCAAGGGTGTGGAGAGATTAGGACTCTTACACACTGCTGGTAGGCTGTCAAATGATACAACTACTGTGGAAAACAGTATGGTGATTCCTTAAAAAGTTGGAATTAGAAATACCATTTGACCCAGGAATCCCATTACTAGGTATATATCCTAAAGAAGTGAGAGCCAGGACAAGAACA